TTATTCTATTTTTACTGTAAACTGCCCAGAGTCACCCCACAGTGAGATGGGTGGTGACAAAACTGAAATATAAATAAATAAATAAATAAGAATTATGAAAAAGAGTAAAGTTCTGGTTCAGGAAAAACAAGCCAAAGTTTCCAAATTCCTCTCTATTGTGCCAGTAGAAAAGGAGGACAAATGGGGATATGAGAGTCAAAGTTTATTGACCTCACTGTAGCATTTACATTATTTTGCCAAGTCTGGTCATTCACAATGATCAAACTATCCAAATTTAAGCTACCAAATTTCACTTTTATTCATTATATGCCACTCTATTTCTGAATATGCCAAGCAAGTCATAAGGAAAAACACAGAATTAAATTAATTATTTAATTATTTATTTGAATTTTTGCCCGCTGGAATTGACAGCCTCTTGTCAGGTTACAATCAGTAACAATGTAAGGAATCAATAATCTAAACAAATACCTGGTGTGTTGCCAATCAGACAGCAGAATCTTCAAATGCCCCCAAATACTTTTTTGCAGAGTTAGATTTCCATGGCTCTGTAATAGAGAGGTAGCGGGCTAGATATCTGGGAGTAGGCTATTTCAGAGACCATCAGTGAGAAGGTTTGAGGATGGGGTCCCTGTAGATCAAATTCCTCCAAATTTGGCATCTTTAGCAAGCTCTCCCAATCAGAACTCACTGGTTAGTCAGAGAACTCAGAGAAGGCAATTTTAAAGATAGCCAGGCTCTGAACCAGATAGGGTTTTATAATCAACAGCCAAAAGCTACTGGTAGACAATGCAGCTCCTGCAGTAGTAATGTTAAATAGTTAACCTAAGCAAACTCAAAATTACACAGACTGTTGGACCAGCTGAAGCTTCTGAATAGTCTTCAAGGGTAGCTGTGAGGTGGCAAGGGCATGAGTGACTGATCCAGAAAAGGCTATGGCTGACGTGCAAGATGTAATTGTGCAAAAACCCTTGTGGCCACAGCCTCCATCTGCTGTTCAAGCAGGAACTGTCTTCAGGCTCAAACCCATCCCAAATGATAAGGCCTTTGTAATCTCAGCTGGACTTGCCCAGCTGGCATCAAAATCTGAGCGGTTGTGAACAATGTTATCCTCCAGATGCTGCATGAATTCATCACAACAGACCAGCAGATGACCTTCCAGCTTGGTTGAATCACTTTAATGCCTCTGGGAGGTTATTCACAGATGCAATAACAGTGGAGAAGTAACTACACTTAATCATTCTTAGCACTATGGTATGGGCTCCTAGAACTCTTTCCCATGTGTGGTAACTTTTGCTTTTCATGTTACCCCTGCATTGTATGAGGTATGGCACAGGTCAGCCAGGCATTTAGGGTCTGTCAGTGTTTCAGAAAACTCTCCATATGCTTTTTGGAAACCAATAAGATCCATTCAATGCCTGTGTCATCAAATAGGTCCCTCCTCCCCTCAGAGGCTCATGATGCCAGTCACTCCTTAATAACCAGAGAGTGATCCCCAGAATTCCAATACCAAACCAGCAACATGTTCAAGAAGCTTGGGTAGGGACGAAGCTGTGCTGCAGAGAGGCCACTAAAACAACACCCCTAGCTTATCCTAAAGCCAACATCACAAACAGTACTTCAAATTCAGTTTCTGTGGGACAATGCCTCTAGTCACATGCAGAGTATCCTGGATTACAATTGTTGTTCCACCTTATCTACTGTGAGGTTGTAGCTTATGGATTATTTGAAACCTAGATGGTGTTTTTTTAAAAATAATAATTATTATTATTATTATAATAATAATTATTATTATTATTATTATTATTATACCACCTTTTTAAATATTACCTAATACGGTGAGAAGTAGGGAGATACTTTATTTCATATGAACTAAGTGGATATCTGTAGATTACATTGGTTATAGAAACTTCTTTTCCCCATAAGTAAAAGATGTTTAATC